TGTGGGGCTGCTGCTGCTGCTTTTTTGCTGCGGTCGTGCTGCTGCTGCTGCTCGTGGGCTAGTTGGATGATCTGCTGCTGCTGCTGCTGCTGCTGCTGTTGCTGACGTTTGCTGCTGTGGCGGTGATGCAGCTTCTGCTGCTGACCCCTCACAGGCAGCATCAGCTGCTGCTGCTTCGAAAGCTCGCAGCATTTATCTCGGTCCCTTCGGCACACAACATTGCTGCTGCTGCTGCTGCTGCTGCTGCTGCTGCTGCTGCTGCAGGCAACAGCTCGGATGACCTGCCAGCCCGCGCGGAGCTGCTGCAGATATTAAATGCAACAGCTTCGCAGCTTTCTGCATGCAGCAGCAAATACCAGCAGCCGCTGTTCAAACGAGACAGGTCCGTTGCTGCTGCTGCTGCTGATTTTGCTGCTGCTGTGTTTGCTGCTGCTACTTTTGCTGCTGCTGTATTTTCTCCTACTGCTTGTGTTCTGGTTGTTGCTGCTGTATTTTCTGCTACTGCTCGTGTTCTGGTTGTTGCGGCGTCTGCTGCTGCTGCTTGTGTTAGTCCTGCTACAATAACTTGCTGCTTCGTCTACTGTTGCAGCTGCTGTTCACTCTTGTCCTGCTGCTGCTGCTGCTGTTGCTGCTGCTGCTGCTTGCCCACCCTCGGTAGCCAGCATGCAGCACCCGTCCCACCCTCCGACAAATAACCGTTATCTATTTATTCCTCATTTATTCATTGTTATTTAATTGTTTAATTATTTAATTATTTAAATGTTTACTTGTTATTTGCTGCTGCTGCTGCTGCTGCAGCGATTTGGCGTTTTTGGAAAGTGCGGAAGGCATTGAGTCTTTGCTGCGCTGCGTCTCCTGCGAAAAGTGTCTTCTCCACGGCACCATCAAACTCACTGCACTCAGACTTGCTGCCAAGGTTTGCTGCTGCTGCTGCTGCTGCTGCTGCTGCTGCTGCTGATTGTGATGCTGTTGCTGCTGAGGAAAAGTATCTTCTCCACAGCCCATCAAACTCACTGCACTCAGACTTGCTGCCAAGGTTTGCTGCTGCTGCTGCTTCTGTTGATTGTGCTGTTGCTGCTGACTGTGCTGCTGTTGCTGCTGAAGAAAAGTGTCTTCTCCACTGTACCATCAAACTCACTGCACTCAGACTTCTGCCAAGGTTTGCTGCTGTTGCTACTGCTGCTGCTGATTGTGCTGCTGCTGCTGCTGGTTGTGCTGCCGCTGCTGCTGATTGTGCTGCTGCTGCTGCTGATTGTGCTGCTGCTGCTGATGAGGATTGTGCTGCTGCTGCTGACAATGCTGCTGCTGATTGTGCTACTGCTGATGATGATGATGTGCTGCTGATGATGGTGATGATGCTGTTGTTGTTGCTGATTGTGCTGCTGCTGCTTTTGCTGATGTTGCAACTGCTTTTGCTGCTACTGTGTTTGTTGCTGCTGCTTTTGGTGCTTTTGCTGCTTTTGCTGCTTCTGCTCCTGCTTCTAGTAGTGGTGGTTGTGGTGGGGATGCTGCTGGTCGTGCCGCTGTTGCTGCTGCTGTTGCTGCTGCTGCTGCTGCTGCTTGCTTGATCCACTTGCATGAAGCAAGCAGCATCAGCTGCCGCTGCGTCCTGCGTCTCTGCAGCCTTTGTGTAGCTACTTGCCGCTGCTGCTGCTGCAGCAGCCTTTGCGTAATTACTTGCTGCTGCCGCTGCTGCAGCCTCTGCGTAACTAACTGCTTGCTGCTGCTGCTGCTGCTGCTGCTGTTGCAGGCGGTGACGGAAGATGCCTCTCTGACGCATTTGGAACGCAACGAAGTAACAGCAACTCTAAATGCTCTTTATTATTTCTCTGATTCTATTCTTGCTGCTGAGCGCATGCGGGTTAGGGTTTGCTGCCACAACTTGCTGCTGCTCGCTGCTGCGGCGCTGCTGCTGCTGCTGCTGCTCCTGCTTGCACTAGCTCTGTACAGAGCTGCCACCACCAGCAGCAGCAGCAAGTCGGCGCTGCAGCCACAAGAAGCCGACAAAAAGACAATTTAGTACAGCAGCAGCACCAGCAGCAGCAACTCCTGCTGCAGCAACTGCTTTAAGCAGCAACAGCAACTGCTGCTGCTGCAGCAGAGGCAAAACGCCGCCATCATCGCTAGCCTTTTTAAAGCTCAGCAGCAGCAGGTACTGCAGCAGCTGCAGCATCGCCGCAGTAACAGCCACAGCAGCAGCAGCAGCAGCGGCAGCAGCAGCGCGAGCTGCTTGTTTTCACAGCAGGCGCAGCCGCAGCAGCAGCGCGAGTTGCCCGTCTCCGCATTAGCAGCAGCATCATCTGCTGCTGCTGCAGCAGCAGCAGCAGGCCGGAAAGGCCCTTTTCTTCTTTCGTTCGTGTCTGCTGCTGCAGCAGCAGCTCCCCGTGCTGCAGCAGCAGCAGGAGCCCAAAAGTGGAGCTTCGGCTCATTAGTTGACCATTTGTTTCTAATTTCAATTTATTTACTTCTATTTGCATTTGCATTTAGAGCTTTTTGAAATATATTTATTTATTTATTTATTTCATTTATCCATTTATTTTCTTTTGTTGCATTTAACAATAAAGATCCACTTGAGCAAAAAATTCATTTCGAGACAAAAGGAACAGAAAGAGACAAAGACACGGGGCTGCCCCCAATAAAACAGCAGCAGCAGCTGCTGCTGCTGCTGCTGCAGCAGCAGCAGCCGCAGCAGCAGCGGCCGCAGCAGCAGCCGCTGCAGCAGCAAACAGACAAATAAAAACCCTGCAGCGCCGAGCCATAAAAGCTGCCTCCCAAACCCTAAACCCTAAACCCTCGCCACGACACTGCATAAGCCAGTAAAGACAAACCCAGGGGACCCCCGGGGCCGCTTCTTAGAAAAGAGACAACGGGGGCCCCCAGGGGCCCCTTCTTA